CATACTTCACATTGCACCCGGCCCCTGACTGCCATCAAGCACTGTGGATGTCACAGCTACTGGAAACTTTTTAATTGTCTCTTGGGGAATTGAAATCTTCAATTCTTTTTTTTTTTGAGACAGTCTCACCCTGTAACCTGGGCTAGAGTGCAGTGGTGCCATCTCAGCTCACTGCAACCTCCGCCTCTCAGGTTCAAGCAATTCTCCTGCATCAGCCTCCTGAGTGGTTGGTATTACAGGTGCATACCACCACACCCGGCTAATTTTTTATATTTTTGGTAGAGATGGGGTTTCACCATGTTGGCCAGGATGGTCTCAAACTCCTGACTTCTAGTGATCCACCCACCTTGGCCTCCCAAAGGGCTGGGATTACAGGCGTGACCCACCGTGCCTGGCCTGAAATCTTCACATCTAAATAATATGCACATATTGATCTGTATCAATTTATAAATGTGGACTTGATCTTTTAGATCCCTATTCTGGAAGATGAGGCTATCACACATTTTTTTCACCCCTTTCCCCTCTTCCATCTTTCTGATAAAATTGTACCTCAATTTTTGGGTAAATCTGTATCTAAGGTTTTCATTATTATGACTGAAAATTTTGCTTCCTACTTACTGAACCAAGAAATAATTTAATTCTGAGTCAGGAAATATTTACTTTATATCATTTCTTAACAACCTTTTGTTTTTCTGGACCTGCTTGTATTTTTAAGAACATATTCTTCCCCACACCCTGCAATAGGTCTGGATCTGAAAATAAAAAACAAAACAACCTTCAATATCATTTTTTATGCAGCCACATCTGTTCAGTGGTTTTTAGTCCTGTTTTATGTTTTACGTTTCTGTTAGACACCCCTTCAGAAGCCATGTCACCTGCTGCATTTGAATGGGCTACTCTCTGGGTCTCCTACATGGCTACTGTCTTGGGTCTTCACCATCATTCTGAGAATTCTCTGCTATGTTGGAACCCTTCATTTCTGGATCTGATATATTCCTCTCTGTAGTGTTCAGCCTCATTTTTTTGGAGTGCGTCCTCTAGTGCAGGGTCCCCAGTCCCCCGTCCACAGACCAGTACCAATCTGTGGCTGGTTAGGAACGGGGCATGCACAGCAAGAAGTGAGTGGCAGGCCGGAGAGCAAAACTTCGTTTGTATTTACAGCTACTCCCCATTGCTCAAATTATGGCCTGAGCTCCACCTCCTGTAAGATCAGCAGTGGCATTAGATGCTCAAAGGAGCGCAGACCCTATTGTGAACGTGCATGTAGGGGATCTGGGTTGTGCATTCCTTATGAGAATCTAATGCCTGATGATCTGTTACTGTCTCCTATCACCTCCAGTTGAAAATGTCGAGTTGCAGGAAAACGAGCTCAGGCTCCCATTGATTCTACATTATGGTAAGTTGTGTAATTTTATTTCATTATATATTACAATTTAATAATAAAAATAAAGTGCACAATACATATAATATGCTTAAATTATCCCAAAACCATCCCCCACCCCCAGTTGGTGGAAAAATTGTCTTCCATAAAACCAGTCCCCGGTGCCGAAAAGGTTGGGGACTGCTGCTTTAATAGCTTCATGGAAATGGTATATGAAAAATAGATTTTTTGAGAATGTGTGAATCTGAAAATACCTTTATTTTATCATCATGATTGATAGTTTGGCTGAGTGTAAAAATTCTAGGATGAAAAATCTTTCCCTTTCAAACACTGAAAGCACTGTCCCTCCATTCTTCTAGCTTCAGATGCTGCTATTGAGAATTCTGATGTCATTCTTATTCCTCTTTCTTTCTTTGTATGTGTTCGTTTTACTGTTGTTTCCTCTTTGGAAACTTTTAGAATCTTTTCTTTATTTCTGATGTTTTGAAGTTTCAAAGTGATATTCCTTGGTGTGTGTGTTAGTTTTTATGTATACTAGATTCTTCGTGTTTCGGAGACTTAACTGGAAAGTATAGTTTTTATTTGGTTGTTTTTTCCCCCTAAAATCCTTCTGGATTTCTTCCCCTGCTTTTCTTACTTTTCTCCTGTTGTCTATTTTTGTGTTCTGTTTTACTTTTTGTGAGATTTCTTCAACTTTATCTTTTTAGCCTTTCTGTTTTAAAAATAGAAAACCTTTCTATTTTGAAAGTTGCTGACATTTTAAAAATTCCAACTTCCACATTCTTAATTTCTAAGAGCTCTTTCTTGTTCAGTGCTTTTTCCTTCTTTAGAGTATTCTGTTCTTGTTTCATGAAATCAAGACCTTTCTAGAAATATTAATTATAGATTTTTAAAGCCTTTTTTCTGTTCCCGTTACAGTTTGCTTGGTGTTCTATAGCTGGTTGGGGGAAGGAGCTGGAGCATCTCACTCTTTAGTGTGCTGATGCCCCCAGAAGTTACTGTTTTTATCCATCATGGCACCCTTGCCCTCCTCTGTGCCTAGTGTCCCCAGTCCAGAGTCTCTACAGTTTGCTTTCTTTTCAGAGAAAAATTTCAGGTCCTCTGTGGAGTAGGGGTGGAGATATGGGGGAATTAATTGTTTTTTTTTTTTGTTTTTTTTTGTTTTCTTTGATACTGAGTCTTGCTCTGTCACCCAGGCTAGAGTGCAGTGCTGCAATCTTGGCTCACTGCAGCCTCTGCCCCGCTGGTTCAAGTGATTCTCCTGCCTCAGCCTCCTGAGCAGCTAGGATTACAGATGTGAGCCACTGCGCCCAGCCTAATTGTTTTTTTAATACACATTTTGAAGGAATTCCCTGTTGAGTCCTGCCTTAGCCTTACCTCCCAAAGATATCTTGAAACCCAGGTTCTCAGCTTTTCTAAGGTTCTGTGTGGCTTACTTCTTATTGTGCTGTTTTGACATTTGCACTTCCTTCTCTTGCTGAGTTATTTAGGATTCCTCCATCCGATTCTGTCTTCATATATTGTAATTTAGGGCTTTTGTATGTCTTCTGGTTTTATCAGAAATCAAAGTTGTATTTCTGTATCTTGCTTTCTTTCTTTGGGGTTGACTTTTGAGAGAAGAACACAGAGAAACTAACATGTTTATCCTATCATCTTGAAACAGAAAAATCCTATTAGATTGATCTTAGACAGTATCAGGTTTTCTCTTTGTTATGGATTTGATAATTCCCACATTTATCTTAAGCAAAATTGAGTCTGTCAGGTACATTGGTGTGCTTTCTTTAAGAAAAAAATGCATATAATTTAATTTCCTTTATAAAATTACATTACTTCTCCATTTTTTTGGTATTGTAGTAGAAAGATTCATTCCATGTTAGTGACGTTTTCAAGACTAGTATACCCTTTAAAGAATCAAATCTTTTATTTCACCAATTTTTAATTGAAATTTCTCCAAAATTTATCAGTGATTTCTCTACATTATTAAAGAGAAAGAGATGAATGCATTCTTCTCCTGGTTTCTCAGAGGCATCATCTGAATATCATTTATTGCACGATGGTATAATTTTGTAACATCTCAGGGGCTGGTACCTCCTCTTTCACTGAATTCTCCCAGGCACTTGCTTTTTAAATTCATAATCGATTTTGCAGAGGTGGCTGTCACTTCCCAATGAGTCATCTTTGGAAAGAGCTCTCCATTCCCCTGACACTGTGCTACATTTAATTGACTGTCCAGTGTGCTCAGAAAGAACTGAGATTGGCAGCAGAAGCAAAATATTCAGGCTGGCAAAACTAGGAGCCTTAAATTTAATTTCAAATCCTGGTCAGTAGACTTTGATGGACAGTTCCTTCCAGTTTCCATGATTCTATAGGGTACATGTCTCAGGCTATGTGGCAGTTCTATTCTTATCTGCTAAGCCTTAGATGTCTAACACTGTACTGTGGTTTTGTCCTGATACAACGCTTATGTTAGCTGGTGCAGTGATGGATAGAGTTTTGCTCAGTGCAATCTCTGGCCAAGTTGTTCACTCCTATAGCTGGACTCTTAATTGCACATTTCCATTGCCCATTCTAAGGCTGTCCCCAGAATTTGAGCTGAAAGTGCTCAGAGATAGGGAAGATGAGCTGGTTGATCATTTTTATCATTCAGACTTTTTTTTTAATCTGATCATAAGAAATAGCTTTGTGAAATAGCCATGGAAAAATAGGGTTAATAAACGAGGATGCTTCACTTGGTTCAAATGTCCTTTTTGGGAGGTGAGGAGTCAGTGAATTATCTCTTCACATGGTGATAATATAGAGAAAATTCCAGAGCAAAAACTTTACCTATCTTGGAAATTCAGATCAAAAGAATTTTTGAGCAAGGCATGGTGGTGTGTGCTTGTAGTCCCAGCTATTCAGAGGACCGAGGAGGGAGGATCATTTAAACCCAGGAGTTTGAGGCCAGCCTGGGCAACATAGCAAGGCTCCATCTCTGAAAAAACAAGAATTTTTGGTAGTAATAGCAACTGATACTGAACACATAAAATGACTTAAACACTAACAAACAAATGTTCACTGGATAAACTTACCCTTCAACGCCTAGTTCAAGTATCACCCTGGTCTTGGGGCTTTCTGTCTATGGGCAGCCCTACACTAAGTTAGGGATTCTGTCCTTAAATGCTCCCACAGCGGTTTGCTCATATTCCTGAAATAGCACCGGCCCCACTGTGTTCTAATTCATCTATTTTCACATCTTTCTTCCTGCTTAGATAGCGAGGTTCTGGGAGGGAACGATTCACCTTTGCGTCCCCAGCACCTGGTGTGTGTGGGCTGCTGTGTGGGAGATGGTTTATGTGTGCTAGATGAATGAGTAGTAGGAGTACTCATTAAATTTCATCTTTCACACTGGGCAAAAAGAGGACATGGTGTATTGAAATATTTTCAACTTGTGGATACGAAGCATCTCCCTTTTATGATTTAGGGTAAGACATTCAGGGCACAATTTTTTTTTCTTTAACACCTTCCTCACTTTCTTCTCCTATCCTCCCTCCCTTCCTCTCAGTCTCAGGAAAAGGTGTGTCTTAATTTTCTTCAATTAAGAGTCTTTTTGAAGAACACCCCTTTCTTTCTTTCTTTCTAGGCGGGCATTAATGAAAATGATTTTTATGACGGAGCATGGTGCGCAGGAAGAAATGACCTCCAGCAGTGGATTGAAGTGGATGCCCGGCGCCTGACCAGATTCACTGGCGTCATCACTCAAGGGAGGAACTCCCTCTGGCTGTGAGTGTACCTGGACATGTGCTTTCTGGACCCTGTTTTGGGTCTCACTTTTGAGGGTCTGGATAGACACAGGGAAGTTGCAGAGAGGTGTTTGGTGATGGGCAGTAGAAGGGGAGAAAATTGGAATATGAACAGGAGGCCGGGCTCACTGTTGACACATTCTCCTGGAAGGAAGGTGCGTCTCAGAACGACACCCTCCCCCTGCACAGGAGTGGAAAGAAAGATCTGCCCCAGGTGGTTTAGGCAAGTGGCTGCTGTCTTGGCTCTGGGATGAGATATTGGTGTCCTGACTGGTGGCCAGGGCACAGCCCAAGGCAGGACCTCTGGACAAGCAGTGAGCACACAGTTCTGAAGTCGAGGGCATGGATTGTCCAGATCCTAGGGAGAAGGACTGGAAGTCTAGGTTCCTGAGTGAAGGACCACCGGAGAAGTAGTGAAAGTCAAGGATGACACAGCTTGAGGCCTGCGAATGAGAAGGGGTTCCATTTCTCAGAATTTCACTCAGGACCAAGGCTGGGACAGTGACAAGTGTGACCTGATTGTAATCCCAAGAGAGATGGGTTGCAGCCCCTGAAAACCCCCTGTCTCATGACATATGCATACAGTGGAACATATTATTCAGCCTTAAAGAGGAAGGCATGCTGCCACATGCTACACGTGGGTACAGCTTGGGGTCGTTCTGCTGAGTGCAATATGCCAGTCACAAAAGACAAACACTGCGTGATTCCAACTCCATGACGACCTAGAGCAGTCAGATGTATAGCGGCAGAAAGTAGAATGGTGTTGCCAGGGCTAGGAGGAAGGGGGAACTGGGAGTTAATGTTGAAGAGGTACAGAGGTTCAGTATAGGTTGATGAAAAGTTCTGGAGATAGATGGTTGCAAATGTGAATGTACTTAATACCACAGAACTGTACAGTTAAAGATGGTTAAAATGATAAATTTTATGTAATGTTTATTTTACAATAAGCAAGCAAAAATACATGAACAAAATCACCCCGTCGACCTCGGCTCAGGGCTGGTTGTGGAGACCGAGGCAGAGCTGCATCTGTGAGGGATGTTGTGTGGCTCCAGCCATGTGGACGGTGGTCATGCAGAGCTTGGGGGCTTTGTGGAGGGGCGTAGTAGAGTCAGCAGGACCTCGGGTGCTTTCTGAACGTATACAAGAAATCTTCAAATTCTTCTAACATCTGCCTACATTGAGAAGCCAAGATCACAAATGTCCCACGCGTGAACATTAGGAAACTGTGATATTTGTGAGCTCAGATCCCTCCCATCTGCAGTCCTCCCCAACGCTCCCATCTATACTGCACTCTGAAAGCTCATGTCTTACCATCTTTCAATATTTACTAATTACTTGGCAATCAAATAAAATCAGAGTTTAATTTGCTGACTAGATTAATTTTAATTTCTGGAAGGTCAACATTAATAAATAAAGTGGGATAAGTGAGATGAACCTGGCATCTGTGCTCACATTTAAACACCTGTCATTGTCCCTGCAAAGGGGACTTTCTTATGCAGTGACAATTGTCAGGCAGTGACTCATCATCTATTTTACTCTGAATTTTTTTTTTTTTACTGTAAAGACAATATTATAACATCCAGCAAAATTTTAAAACATTATGCATGATTCCATGGTCCTTATGCTAACAGATTTTTTTCTCCCGTATTGCAATCATGTTACATATCCAGTTATTTTATTTTTAACTTAAAGACATATCAGTAACATTTTTCATGCTGTTACTCAGGCTTTGTAATGATCATTTTTAATGGCCTGTAATTTACTCAGCCACACCTCCATCACCATCTCAATTTTCTATTATCACATATCATGTTGTGAGAAAGCATTTTCATACTTTTTCTTCATTAGAATTATTTTCTGTGAATACATTTTCAGAGCTCGAATAATTTGTGCATTTTGACAACAGTTGGTTATGCATTTATGCCATTTTGTGTATTGCATTTTATTTGCCTTGCTTTTCAGTAGCGTTTGTGTATGTATTTGTTGATTTTTCCTCTGTGGCATGCGTTTTGCTTTTAGCAGTAGCTTATTCCCATAACAATTGTTTTCACTGTTGATATTCTGAAAGGCAAGAATTTATGGGGGCAGTTGGGTTGCTCAGGAAAAAATGGAAACTTAAAACAAAAGACTGTTTTGAGATTATCCATGGGGATTTTTGCCTTAATGTTTGCATGTTAAGCTGTCTGGCCACTGTCCTTAGAGACCCAGTAGTCGGGTTATTATTGGATTAGAAAATAAGTGAAAGGTAAGTATAAAGCTCACATTCCATTTCAGCTAGAAACACAAGAAGGTTTGGGGTAAGCAAGGAATTGCAGTGGAACAGTATCTTTCCTTGGCTCAAACAGTACAGGAACATCTCAGAGGGAAGACAAGGGATAGAATTACTTTAAGAGTTTATTTTTTTAAATGTATTTCAAGCCAAATTATTCTCCAGGAACAATGAAAAGAAACCTGATGAGTTTTGGTTTGTCTTCTCTCTTGGAATAGTACTATCTCCAGTGAGAACTGAAGGGGAAATGGGATTAGGATACATCTTGGTATCTGAGCCTTTTTCTATCTCAGTATGTCCAGAAAACATGTCAAAAATGAGTATCATTCAATACTAACAGCGAGGAAGGCAATAGTCATCTCCCTTTCTCTCTTGGCATGACACATCCCCACACTGCTCCCAGTACAGACGGCTATGGTACCATTTTTAACATTTCTATTGATTGGTTTTCATGTTTCTTCCCACTAGTCTGTGATTCCCTTGATGGCAGATCCATGTCTTGGCAGTCTTTATTCCTGGGACCTTACCCAGGACCAGGCGCCTATTAGATGCACAAGAAATAACTCTTTAATGAATGGGTATCAATATGAAGTAAAGAGTCGACAAAGACTCATTCACATGGAATGGTAATGAGCTAACTGATCTATGACGATACATGGATGAGCATTTATTTATATTATACATGTAAGGGGGGAATGTGGAGGGGTTCGGGAAGAGAAGGTTGAGAAGCCACAGGTGTGTGGAGCTGGACAGCTCCTGTAAAGCGGCCGCCGCGTCAGGGCTTTCAGCCCTTGCTGGTTTCGAGATTTCTCTTCTGTGACCCTCAGTTTCCCGTTCTCTAAAAATGAGATAACTACTCTCTATCTCATAAAGATGTGGTGAGAGTAAAATTAAATTACGATGTTTTAAATGAGCCAGCACATAATAAGTGCACAGTAAGTGGTAGCTGTTCCTGCCACACGTCTTTGGGTTTATCTGTAACCGCGGTTTTCAAGCTTTATTTTTAGGTATAGATTCTTCTCTCAAATAAAATCTTTCTTGGAAATATTTAGAAAATATAGACAGAGAAATCTGCTTTGCATGAATCTGAGGATTTGGGGACAGTCACCTACCTGGTCCTCCTCTCTTCTTCCTCACAGGAACACCTCAGAGGACAAATTGGTGGAAGTATCTGTGTGTAGGAGCCTAGTAAATAGCTCGAGGGGGGTCTGTGCAGGTTACTATCCTGCACACTCCCCCGGTGCCCGTTGTCACTTCCCAGGTCCTGCAGGGTCGCAGGCAGAAGTGGAATTCACACCAAGACAAGCCATGGCAGAGCTGGAATTAGAGTTTGAGTTTTCTAGTTAAGTGTGCAGAGCATACCCTCATCTCACAGCGTGTTGCATTTTGGTTGGTAATGTTTCAGAAATGGAAAGGGAGGAACTCGCCAGCCTGGTAGATTTTTCCAAATGGATGTTGCTATTCAGAGTGGCTTCTGGCTGGCTATTGAAATACAGAAAGACTTGACTAGCAGTTGGAGTTACAATATACACTTAAGAAATAAACTTTTCCTTTATAGGACATTTATAGTTGGATTTTATTTTATTTTATTTTTTAGATGGAGTCTTGCTTTGTCACCCAGGTTGGAGTGCAGAGGTGTGATCTCAACTCACTGCAACCTCCACCTGCCAGGTTCAAGTGATAATACTCAGCTTCTTGAGTAGCTGGGATTACAGGCACCTGTCACTGTGCCCAGCTAATTTTTGTATTTTTAGTAGAGATGGGGTTTCACCATGTTGGTCAGGTGGTCGTGAACTCCTGACCTCAGGTAATACTCCCACCTCGGCCTCCCAAAGTGCCTGGATTGCAGGCATGAGCCACCATGCCTTGCCCTATAGTTGGAATTTTAAAGTGAACATTCATGATCTTATTTGTTTCTGATACTCTCTGGATGTCTATTAATTCATTCCTATGATGTTTATCAAGTGCTCTACAATAAGCACTAGGGATATAAAAGTGGGCAAGAAATGGCCCTGCCTGCAGGGAGCTTTCAATCTATTGGAAGAGTCCAATACCTTCATGGGTCTACTAGACTCAGCAAGGCGCATCCCATGGTAAATGGGCACAGGGGAGCTGCTGTGAGACCTGGAAGACAAAAGGAAGAGATGAAAAGGCAAAATCACGAGGCTCAGCCACTGCGGTCCTGACGTGAGCTCATAACCAACTTGATGATAAGTTCTACAACCGCAGTTTTATTAGTTTTCCAAATAATTCATGCTATTTGAAAGTAATACAATAACTTATACAAATATAAATTATTCAATATCATTAAAAATATAAATTATTCAATATCATTAAAACAACCAGATTGTTTTAATGATAGTGAATAATTTATATTTTTCACAATTATGAAGTATCCTTCCCTACTGCATTATAATTTTGTACAGTGTTAGTATACTAATGAAAAGCAATCTTTTATTTCCCTAATGACAGAAAGTATATTAGATATATGAGTGTTAACAGTTATAACCAATGTGATGATTGAAAAGTTAATTATTCTGCTTGAGGTGAATAGATGGCTCTAATGATTTGGAATAAATACAGGCAGTTGGAAGGAGCCAAATCTTTTCAATTTTAGCTCTTTAATCGACAAAATGATTCTGTGTATATCTTGAAGTCTGTGCATTTGTCCTTTAAGTGGGGCAAAAATTTGATGAATGAGTTTGTGAGGT